TTGCCACGTTCCAAATAGCACACACAGGTAGACAAGAAGATGAGTGGAGAGAATCAATAGAGTTTGACAAGTATGAGAGTGAAACAGAATGGGTAATGGTAGGAAGGAATATGAAAGATTGCAGAGACTGAATACATCTGCGCTGGTCATTGACAACGATTTTGAGCCATGTCACCTATTGTTTCCAGCCATTGATTCCTAGAGTCCCGAGGACCCCAACCCGGAAGTCTGCATCTCCCTACCTGACTCAGTTTAACTGTTAAGGATTTCATGGATTGATGCCATGTTTTTGTTTGGCCACCACTGGCTCTTTTCCAACCTGAACCTATGTCAGCTAGCAATGCCCGTCGCGGGAGGCGGTGGTTAGGCATGCGCAGCACGTGACCTAGCCATCTTAGTCTATGTAACTTTATAGCCTCGTCGATTGATTTTCCCTCTTTGCCCAACACTCTACGCCTGACGTCAACATTACTTATCTTGTGAAACCACCTAACGTGAGACAGAGATCGCAGACATCTATGATCGAAAGCAGTCAACCTTTTCATGTCTTCAACGCGTATTGGCCATGTTTCAGAGCCATAGAGAAGGACGGAGCGAACTTCTGAGCAGTACACACGTCCCTTGGTTGATAGCCAGATGTCACGTTTACGCCAGAGGTGGTGTAAGTCAGCGAAAGCAGCTCGAGCTTTTCGGATCCGTGCTGAGATTTCATCGCCAATCAGTCCGTTGGTGCTAATACAACTTCCCAAATAGGTGAAGTGGTCAACATGTTCTATCACTTCACTCCCTATCATTAAGTTAGGGGTTGACGTGGTCCAGTCCTGTAGCAGCATCTTACATTTTGCAGGGGCGAATCACATGCCAAACATACGAAGATTGCTGCTCAAGGTGTTCAGAAGACTCTGCATTTTTTCAGCATCCTCCCCTAACAGGACTATGTCATCTGCATATTCTAAGTCCATAAGACTATTCCCTGGTAACAAGTCGATTCCTAAGTCACTACGTTCAGTTAAGGATACTTCCGTTAGCATATCTATGACGAAGTTAAAGAGAAATGGGGAAAGTGGACATCCCTGTCGGACACCACTGGTTGTTACCAATTCAGATGACAATTCCCCATAAGCCCTTACACGACTACGTGAGTTTGAATAGAGTGCCTTGATTAGTGCAATGTACTTTCTTGGCACTCCCTTCACAGTCAGACATTGCCATAGTACCTTTCGATCCACGGAGTCGAAGGCCGCCTTCAAGTCAAGAAATATGACAATTGTTGGACGCCGAAAAGTGTGTCTATGTTCTAGAATCTGTCGAAGAGTGAAGATATGATCTATGCACCCTCTACCTGGTCTAAAGCCTGCTTGATTTTCCCTTGTCTGTTCCTCCCGAGTTCTGCTTAGTCTATGCATGATTACTGAGCCTAGGATTTTAGAGACTATGTTCGTTAGGCTGATCCCTCTATGATTATCACACGAGGACTTGTTTCCCTTCTTGAATATCGGTATAATAAGTGACTTACCCCAGTCTGATGGTACTGTCTCTGATTCCCAGACTTTGCCTAGTACCTCAGTTAATCTACAAACTAGTATGTCACCCCCATATTTAAACACCTCCGGAATAATTCCGTAGGGTCCTGCCGCTTTGCCTCGTTTCAAATTACTGATAGCTTTTGTAACCTCACCTACAGACGGCGGACCAGTGTCTATATCCCATTCGGGTACGTGGTGGATGGCGGGGAGGTTCAGTGTGGCTGTAGGCAAGTTAAATTGTTCCTCAAAGTGTTCTTTCCAGCGTTCAAGGCGTCTATCCTGAGAGCTAATTAAGGAGCCATTTTTCTCAGAAATAGTCTCACTTATGAATTGCCTTCTCCCACCCGATTCTGTGATGAGTCTAAAGAGTTGCCTATCGCCGATGCTTTTTCCATCTCTTTTGCCTTTGTCACCCACCACTGTTCACGGTCCTTGCGGAGACTTTTAGTAAGTTTCCTTTTGTGCAGCTTTCGCTCCTCATTGAATTCGGAGCTCGCCGGAATAAGTCTTCTAGCATCTATCAGTTCGGATGAGGCAGTCGAAATCCAGTGGTTTTTACTCACCTTTGGTAGGTATCCAAACAGGTTAACACTATTGGATTCCCTAGCCAAGTGAAACCAAGAACTTATTTCACACGGCGAGATAATTACTGTATAATTGATGGGGAATGGCTAGAACGAAAAGCAAAGAACATAGACACGGAATGGTACTTCTGTTTCTGTATCAACAGTGCAATCTTAAAGACCAGTCCTTCCTTTGATATTTGCACACCACAGTAAAGGATGAGATGGCGGGTAATATCAGCAGCTGACCATGCTCAGTTAAATTGTTTTATCTAACTCTGTCCTTCCAGTAAATCATGTAGCCTAATTAAACTATACGCGAGCCAAGGAAAAGCCAAACCCCAGACTAACACATTACATCTTCAGAAATATTGGATAACCAGAATGTAATAATTATGTCTTGCAGTTTATAACAATATCTCGGAGCTACTCAAATGCGCAAACGCAAAATCAACCGATAGAAATACGAAGCGACTGGTTGCAAATCCACCTAGCCATAGCAAAGTAACCTAGAAAGTTGGTTATGTGAGTACTACTACTGATATGTTTTGAAGTGCAATAACTAAGATGCCTACAGTTTGCATAAAACTGTTATCCCCTACTTAATGACCATCGTCCCCGCGTGTACAAGCCCCAAAATACAGAGCCCACGCCGACGCACACCTGATATCTATGGTCGGCCTGCGAATTTTGGGCTACCGATATCCACGCTGAAAATTCCACACTTGTCGCAAAAATACGGTGTGGAATCAAGCTGTAATCAAAAATTTTAAAAAAATATCTCAAATCAACATCTGTAATATAAGGACGCATGTAACTCCTGCCAATTATAGAGTGTAATTAAATCTTTCCCAATAATACAGTTATGAAAAGTGAAGAAAATCTTGATAAATCCTACACATCATACCGAATGCTTCTAGATGTTATGGAATACTGAATGTAGCAAAAATATTCATTCAGATATCTATAAAACACAACATAATCGAGCAAAGAATATTCTTTTCGATAAATTCCTCTTCTGGCTCTACAATTATATACATGTTTATATACACAGAATATTCAAGGTTGGTAGTTAATAACAATATTAGTGTTTTTTAAATAATATCGATTTGTAAAGCAAGATCAATGCAATTACAGTTCACAAAAAATACTTAAATTATAATAGTAATAGAGATATAATAGCGAGTAGGATATCAACTAAAATTAGGAAATTTTCACGAAAATTGAGAATCATTCAAACCTAGATGGCCAAGGTAGGGACAGCGTCTGAACTAACTTCTTTTGGACGCACAAATTAGGCTTTTTAATGTGGATCCCAACAGCCCCAGCAATATTTAGTAATCGAACTCTTAAGGCGAAGTTGAGATTTGTTGGTATCCGATAAATAACTCTGAAAGCTTGGTTAACATCAATCCTATGTTCTGTATCCACCAGATGAGCCAAAATAGCGCTACGGATAGATTTTGTTTGGCCTTTGCTTAACCACGCAGGGTGATGTTCGGAAATTCGACGAGAAACACGCCTAATTGTGCGGCCTATGTAACTGGCTCCACAGGAGCAATTAAATTGGTAGATACACATGGATGAGGCGAAATTAGGTAGTTTGTCTTTTACTCCCGAACGCAGAAGAGAAGTAGTCTTAAAGATACAACGTAATTCAGCAGCAGGGAATGCTCGTTTTACCGCATTTCTAATACGCTGTGTTAGTATCTCGCTAGTGTTGTCCCCAAGGAACTGCATCTGAAAGAATAAGGCCTTTTTTGAAACTGTTGGTAACTTCGGCTGCTTTGGTTTCAAATTCATATTCTTATCAATAAACTTTTCAGGATAACCATTCTCACTTAGCAACCGTTTAATATTATTCAGTTCTTCATCAAGACATTCGTCCGAGCAAATCGCTCTTGCTCTGTGAACCAGGCACTTTATCAAATTGCGTTTGTATTTCAAGGGCACAAAACTGAGAAAATGTGTGTACTGGCCCGTTGATGTAGGTTTTCTATAAACTGAATGGTTGTAAGCAAACAAGTTTCACTTAAACAAGCCAAATAATCTTATTTCATCCTAATTGCCTACAAAGTACGAATAACAGATACACGCTACTACCGAGACAACTAAGTCCCAGTTAGTTAAACAAATCGAAGCCAAGCTGTAAAGATCAAATGGAAATGTAATCAGCTTCACTTGTAAGTGGTTAACAAGATCTAACTTGATACTTAAGAGTTTCTCAACCTAAACTGAAGCTTCAAAACCAACCAACGTTAAAGAAGCACACCATAAACTCCATACTGACCGCTTTAAAATTAATATGACCCGTTGCACAAGAGGTGGCTCTCGTGGCCCAAGTGGTCTAGTAGATAACGCTTTGGCCTTTGAAACTATGAGCACTGGGTTCGAGCCTCAGTGAGAAATGCAGGTACATCCAGCTGACGAGTCCCAAATAGGACGAAATGCGCATCCTGGATTACACTGCTAGCCACCATCCGCCACTTCTATACTAATTAAAGGCCCAGACATCGTCGAAGCATCTGCAAAAGAAGCCGACATGTCAACCTGAGACCGAGCACTTCGGTCCAATCAATCGACGCGTGTTTTGTGAAAATTATGTCGGATTTTACATAGACTACTTATAATACATCACATCAATAAATGCAGTCACTATTTAGTGTCCATTACATTTCAACTACACTGAGTGATAACTACTTCTAAAACGAAAAATACACTCTACTTCTCAGTTTAGTACAAAGTTCTGTATGAATGCATTTGCAAAACTTTTGTTGTAGGGCTAATGACTCGGCTTGATAATAAATAGCTCAAATTTTGATCATCAGCACGCCTATTTAGCGATGGACACGTTGTTGAAAATAATGCCAATTGTAAGGAAATAGCTATGAGATTCTTTAGAGCTGAAAGCACTTAGTAACGGTCTAACCAGCCATTGTACCTATGCTTTTAACACACCATAGAAGATAAACTCCTAAGGAATAGATCGTAAGTAAGCATGACGGTGAAGACAAACACTGAAGTAAATGTGGTCAGAGTAAATTGCACGTACAGAATGTTAAAGCTAACTGCGAAAAGTTCACTCTTGATTTCCTTTATTCAAGTTTAAAACGATGTTTAATTCAACATTATGCTCTAGTATCAATATCGAAGCATTTATATAATTTATTATCGCAAAATTAAATTCGTAACAAATGACACCTGTATATGAAAGAGGGACAGAAATCTTAACAGATGATTTTCTGAAAAACACACAACGTCTGCAATACGTTTTACAACGATAAAACAAATAAGCAACGCCATGCATTGCATGCATATATATAATTTTTGAAAACAAACAAGCGAAACATGTAAGCACATTCTTGTTACAAGTACTACAATAAGCACAGACACACATTTTTTAAAGTACGTAGGCCCACTAATTGAGGCATACTACAATCATCATCACGAAACTGAAATCCAATGATGAAAGCAACCAGACAATCAATTTGTAACTAGCGTGTAAACTAAACTATAAAAATAGACATTTAAAAAATATACCACATATTTTAAACATATAAATTAACATGACAAATGTAATATACCGACAGTTAGCCCAATTAGAACTTGGCAATTAGTCGATATAATGTATGAATACATACGAGTAAGTTAATGTTTCAGAAATGATGTACAGAGAGTTGGAATCATTGTCAATTATAAACAAAAAAGAAAGAAATTTGGAGAAAATTATCACCCAATACAATACCAAGATATCATAAATGAGGTTTATGTAAATATATATACTGCCAAGATTCTTTTTCAGTTTAAAACCAACAAAGACTAATTTTGTTAACTAATGCAAAATCTTTCAGTAAAATAAAAGAGCAAAAGGACTGGTGTTTTTGGTTTTGGTGTAAACCAAAATAAGAAGAAAAGAAAATTATAACTTAATAATAGACAGCAATAAAAGAGTCAGGATCCCTCTTGACCGAAATCATCTGTAAATTTACGATGTTTAGCCAAGTCTTCAGCATTTACAGTTGGCTTGTTCCGTTCTAATGAAGACAACATATCATGCTGCAAAGAAAACAGTATTCATAATGAAAGTTAAGGTATTTTTAACAGGAAATCATGTCATATTTATACAAATATAACTAAAATGTCCGCAAAGAGACAATGAATTGATGCAAATAAATAAAAATTCGAATCCACTTTGAAAGCTCCACCTTATATTTGCAGAAAATCCACCTTATATATGGGAAATTGCCAACATAGAAAAGTAATTTTGTTTCACAATAATAGATACGAGTTAATGGGTTGACTAAATTACCATTACGAATACCTTGAAGGATGAGTCCTAACTTATATGGAGTAATTATAGGTTATGTTTATTACATTGACTTTTAGGCACATTTCCTAAAGATCAAAACGAATGCATTCGCTAAAAATTATCGTTATCGCTTCATACAGAAAAAATGAGCTATAAACCACCAATCAATTTAAACCGATACGAGAGTTAATAATTTAAACTGCATATTACTCTAAATCAGATCAAAGATTTACTCATGAATACAGAAAATAAATCGGATCTGTTTCAGTACTGTGTACTGAGCATTTCCTACGGTTGTAATATAAAGAAATTTTTTGCTTCTGCAAGTGGTAAATTTTGGGACCACATTGTCAGTATTTTACTCGTAACCTAGCTCGATGTTAAATTTGCTCAAAATAAAACCTTGCGTTTAAAAATAACAGTTTAATTAGCCAAGCTTCACAGTGAATAGGAAACAAGTAAAGTGTAAAATCATATGCAAATAAACAGGGGCATGTGAGTATACGGAAAAACCAATTGGAATATTGCCGAAAATTTCTCAAGATAAAGCTGTTGCACTATTATGACCACTTTTATACAATAACCGACTACTGGTCACACTAAAATTTTGAAGACGCTAGCCAGGTAACAATAACTGATATTTTCTGCTTGAATCAAACCGTACTTTGGTTATGATCTTACAAGAAGATAGGGGTGCAAAACATATACTAGTCACAGCTACCTCATTTGATATGCCTTTCTTAATCAGTGTGCCATACCGACCCTACACAGTCCAATCAAATGCGAACACACGAAAATATATAATACTATAGTAGTGAATAACCTGAAATAAAACTTAGACATACCATAGCAACTGGAGGCTCTTTGAGTTTATCGCTTGGGACTTTCCCCCAATCCATTTCAATAGCACCAGTATCCCCAGGAGAGCATGGCATTAGAAGATCACCAACAACTTTCGATGGATTAGTAGGACTAGGACCACACACCTTTGGAATGAAAATAATGCTTGCTTATAAAGTCATAAGACCAATCTCCAAGATATTTTATAATTTAAACTTAAAACCAAATGATTTTACTTACAGCCAGCTCATAGTGTGGGTTGGTTGACATATTTATATAGTTGAAATAGAATGGATTGATATAAGACTAAGAATCCCTACTGGTCATCATTCACCAGTGAGTGCAACATATACCATATCAACAGAATAGTCTCTGAAACAATCTGTGAACATACATTTTCAATGGTGATAGAAACTTTTAATAATTTCAGAATTTACTATCATTGTCAATACTAACCGAATATTATCTCTGCAAAAGTAGAGATTCAAGATACTTATAGTAATGCCATTTAAAAATATTTGGTACACGCTACCAGATATCATTATCACCTACACGCAGTCATGAAAAATATCAGCCTATATTAGAGAACGTACCTTAGTGGTGATTGAGATCATACAGGAGCAAGCATTACATTAACTTGCTTTCAAGACCCTTGATATATTACATCATTATCATTCGTTATTTGTACCACGAGTGAGACCATAGGGGTTTAGCGGCACATCAACATTGCACTCGGTTCTCTGTCGTCACTTTCAACTGACTTTACCACTGCCTATCAGCCTTCATTTCGTCTTCACATTATCTTTTACACATCACCCACAGACCCATGCTCAGCCCATTGGGTTCCACTGGATGGTCTGGTATATGATATCACCCAACAGTCTCTTCAGGAGGCAACCAGTCCATTTCCGCTTCCTTCTGTTTATTTTGGGGTAATACATTCTTGACTGGTTCACTGACTCCTGGAGTTCCTTGTTGTTTATCCTTTTTGGCCGGCTGACCATTTGATTTTCAGCATCGAACCAAATGTCGCGTTATCTATCGACAATAATCATTATTATCACGGGGGATAAGAGGTACGTTTTTCTTAGTCCCGTTTACTATTCAAACGCTTATATGAGCTCTGTTGTGAGTCAGATGGTGTGCGGCATTAGCATTATCACAGATTTGTTGAATGAGGTTCATAAATGTTTGCGGCACTTCATTCCGTAGTGTGAAAGCAGTTTCTGAATTACTTTGGTGTTGATCGTGAGGAAGACCTTTTTGAAGTTATTGAAGTTGGGGTAGACAGTCGACTACCATAATAGGTTGTTGGACTGTGTGTAGCAATGGAATTTGGTCCGAAAATGATCTGTTTTTCCTGAAATTAGCCTCTTCCGAGCATAGTTTTGTATCTAAAGGATCTTTTAGTCTTCCCAACATGATGCTGCTTGGTATTCTGCTCGAGGTGGCCAGCAGTACGGTGTAATGCTGCTTCTTGCATAGGCTTAAGTCGCCCTTCTTTGGTAGCTCGATTATTACTATTGTTCCCTTGGGTTCCGAGTGGAACATAGCACTTCAACAGCACGTCCCCACTTCATTCTATTTTCTGCGATCCTCTTCAGCTGCCCCAACGACTGCCTATAACCCCTGACCTCCTCGCACGATCCACTCCATATCACCTTCAGACGCCCTACTCGTCGTTTCCAATTCAGGTTTCACCCAAGGACCTGGTGTGCCTTTCTTCCTGTCGATAAGTAACTTTGCTTCATTTTACACCTTCTGTAATAGTGGTGTGAACAGGTCCGTTGAGGTCTCTGAATCCATTTTAAGTGCCACTAGGGGATTACATTTGGTCCTTCGGTTTTGAGTAACTTTGTTGCTTCCAAGACGTCGATTTCCGACAGATAGTTGGCGTTCACTCACAGTTCTGTCTCTGCCGGTGGTATTTACGGATGAATTTTAGGTGGTAGTCAATTCAACAGTCCATTGAAGTGATCACTCCAGCGTCTCCTTTGTTCTGCCTTTTTGTTAGTTGAGTTCCCTTCAGTATCTTTCACTGGCTTCACATGCGTCTATCTTTCCAAATAGTCAACTGGTTATCTGACAGTGTTGTGAGGTCTTTCTCACCTGCAGGCTGTGCTACAGCTACCAGTGTGCAGTAAAGGTGACTAATATCTTAAATACTCGATACTCTTGGTTAGTTTGGAAACAGCGAGAATGAATATATCTGCAGGACATAGAGGGCACACTTTAATTTCACGGCCTTTCTTCAGCTGCCAACAGCTCAAAAGCGATTGTCAATGTAAGCTCACTTCACAATTACTTCAACCCAAACGCCATCTAACAATTCTTAGCACAATATAGGAATAAGATGCATTAATTCAAACCAGAGTTAATTTATACATAATATGACGGTAAGTTTATGACGATGGGATGTGACTGAAAAGATATGGTCAGCAAAAGTGAAGTTACTTGTTTTTTTACGTAAAAGTAATGAAATAAAAGACGACTTTTTTTGAGGCTGATATTTATTCAAACGTATTCTCCATTGTGTTCTCTTAGTATAGTGAAATCTTGCTTGCCTAAACATCATAGGTTGTACATTTGACATCCATAAAACTAATTCCAGAAACTAATTCTAAACGTCGACCGCTTATATCATTTTGAATCCAATATTTAATATATAAGTGGGTGAATCAGCAAATGGAATAAGCATCCACTGTAACATAAAATGTTAGTTTAAAATCGCGATCAACATACGACTCAACAACAGTAATTTAACAATACTGAAGATAACTATCGACCAACCAAACACAAATATCAATAGAATAGAATTCCAATTCACAGTGATGAGACAAGGCTATAGATCACTTAACAAACTAAATAGAGTAAGAGAAATATTTCTTTACTGAAGAGAGAAAATCCTTTTTCTTATTATTATTATTATTGTATCCTTTAGTTCCTAGAGGAACATAGGGCTTCAGCTGCGCACCTCCATTGACTTCGGTTTTCTGACAACTTTTTCACCCTGCTCCAGGTCTGTCCACATGCTTTCATCTCCTCCTCGCATGACCTCCTCCAAGTCACCCTTGGACGACCAACTCGCCGCCTCCCTTTCGGGTTCCACTCGAGGGCTTGTCTAGTGATGTCACTTGATGGTTTCCTCAGCGTATGGCCAATCCATCTCCATTTCTTTCTGCCTATTTGTTTCACAATCGGTTCCTGATTGGTTCGCTCCCAGAGATCCCTGTTGCTGATCTTTTCTGGCCATCTGATCTTGAGTATTGAGCGGAGACAGTTGTTAATGAAGGTTTGAAGTTTGTTTGAGATGCTCTTTATGACTCGCCAAGTCTCTGATCCGTATAGTAGCACTGACTTCACATTGGAGTTGAAAATCCGGATCTTATTTTTGATGCTGAGTGCTGTTGACCTCCACACAGATTTGAGAGTAATGAAAGCTTGTCTTGCTTTTCCGATTCTGGCTTTGATGTCCTCGTCAGTTCCGCCTGTAGTTGAGACGATGCTTCCCAGGTAGGTGAAGGAGGTTGTTTCTTTCAGGTTCTTCCCATTTATGCTTATTGTTGTCTGTTGTTGTTGTTGATGTTGGCTAGGAATCTTCATCATCTCTGTTTTATCTATGTTCACGTGAAGTCCTATCTTTGATGCTTCTTCTGCCAACTTGTTACTTTTCACTTGCATATCTTCCAGTTTATGGGAAATCAGACATATATCATCGGCGAAATCCAGATCCTCCAAGTCTTTTGTGTCAGTCCATTTTATGCCTGTTCCCTCGTTGGTTGCCGTTGTCTGTCGCATTATCCAATCAATTGCAATCAGGAAGATCATTGGTGATAGTAGACAGCCTTGCCTCACTCCCGTCCTCACTTCGAAGGCTTCCGTAAGTTTCCCGTTGTGGATTACTTGGCATGCAGCATTGTCGTATAACTGTTGGATGAGGTGTATAATTGTCGATGGGACCCCGTAGTAGCGAAGTAGTTTCCAAATGACCTCTCGATCGACGCTGTCGAAGGCCTTTTCAAAGTCGATGAAGTTGAGATAGAGAGGTGACTGCCATTCCAAGCTTTGTTCAATGATGATCCGTAGAGTGGCGATTTGATCAATACATGATTTGTTTCTCCTGAATCCAGCCTGTTCCGGACGAAGTTTTTCATCTAGGGCTTGTTTGATTCTCTCCAGGATGATGCGACTTAGTATCTTGCTTGGAATGGACAGAAGCATAATTCCACGCCAGTTTTTACATTGACTTAAGTCTCCTTTCTTTGGAAGTTTGAATAAGTATTCGTTCTTCCAATCCTCGGGTACTTTGCCCTCTTTCCACACCTTCTCCAGCAGTGGTGTCATCAAGTCCGCTGTTGTCTCTGGGTCTATTTTCAAAGCCTCTGCTGGGATTCCATCTGGTCCCGGTGTTTTCCCAGCTTTAAGCATCTTGATTGCATTCAGGACTTCTGATTTCGTCGGGGGGTCAGTGTTCACTGGTAGTTCTGCTTCCGTTGTTGGTATTGCTGGACGTGTTGTAGGTGGCGGACGATTTAGAAGTCTTTTGAAGTGTTCAACCCAGTGCTTTCTCTGTTCCACCTCTTTGGTGATTGACTTTCCATTGTCGTCCTTTATTGGCTTAATCTGTGTCGAACGTTTGCCCGAAAGGTTCCTAGTTGTTTGGTAGAGTGTGGCGAGGTCTCCTTTGCCTGCAGCTTGTTCTGCTTCGTTTGCCATGGTTTCATAATATTTTCTTTTGTCTTCCCTGGCACTTTTCTTCACTCTTTTGTTCAGTGTATTGTAGCTTGCATTCAGCTCCTGTTTTTGTTGCTCGTCAGTGCACTGGATAATCTTTTGCTTCACTGTCCTTCTCTCTTCTATTAGTTTCCAAGTGTCCGTAGTGAGCCACTGTTTGTCCTGTCTCTTTTTTCTGCCTAGAATTTCTATGCAGGTTTGGCTCCACACCGTTTTCAAGTTGTTCCAGTGCTTTTCGACGCTGACCTTTTCGCTGGTGTTGATTTGTGTCTCGGCTTTGTCCTTTATGCTTGCAATGAAGATGTCCTTTGTAGCCTGGTCCTTCAGCTTTTGAGTGTTGAACTTGGCTTGTGGTCTATCTGCAGCTCCTGATTCCCTGAAAGCTTTTAATTTGATTTGGATTGTCCCTTGTACGAGATAGTGGTCTGAGCCAACGTCTGCTCCTCTTCTTGCTTTTGTGTCCAGTAGGCTGCGCCTCCACTTCCTTGAGATTGAGATGAAGTCGATTTGGTTTTTGGTTTGCCCGTCTGGTGACACCCATGTAGCCTTGTGGATATCTTTGTGCTTGTATACACTGCCACCAATCACCAGTTCGTTGAAGGCGCAGAAGTCGGCGAAGAGTTCTCCGTTTTCATTCATTTCTCCTAGAGCTTCTCTACCCATGATGAGTTCCCTTCCTGTATTGTCTGGTCCCAGTTTGGCGTTCATGTCTCCCATTAGTATTTTCATGTCGCCAGCTGGAGTATTGTCCATTGTTGCCTGTAGAATTCTTCTTTCTTCTCGAGGTCTGCGTTGTTTGTGGGTGCATAACATTGTATGATTGACACTTTCCTTCCTTTGGAGTTGAACCTGGCGGTCATTATCCTGGACGAAATCGCCTCCCATTGTATCAGGGCTTTCGTTGCCGTTGGTGACATCATGATAGCCACGCCCTCGGTGTGCGTGTGGTTATCTTCTGGGTGACCGGAGTAGATCACTGACTCACCTGTTGACAATTTGGTGAGTCCACTCCCATTCCATCTGCTCTCACATATTCCCAGCACTTGTATTCCGTATCTTTTCATCTCGTTGGCGATCTGGGCAGCTTTCCCAGTCTCGTACATAGTTCGGACGTTCCATGTTCCTACACAGACTTTTTCTTTTGGTGCAAAGAGGTTCATTTTGCTGAAGGTTCTGTAGCAACTTTGTTTACAGGGTGGGGTTGCTAGCCTCACGCCTGAGAAAGGAATGATTACATTAAGTTAAAGTTTAGAGAGAAGCAACTTTTTGGGTTGCTCCCCTCAAAATCAGAAAATAACGGACAAACAATGAGAACAATGTAAGCGAAATTCGAAAGAAAAGAAATTCATTTCATTACTCATCAAAAACCCATATTCGCAATGTTTCGCTTGAAGACAACAATATAACATATTTGCAAATGAATGCAGACATAACCGTATAAAAAATAACGTATAAAATCCAGTAGACATACTCGTTTAAAGTGTGTTGAGGTATGAACCTTTCTTACAGGCATCATTAAAGCCTCACGGACGACAACGGATATATCTGCACCAGAATAACCTGCACTTCTTGCACCCAATTCAATAAAATCTTTTTCTGATAAAGAGTGCGAAGTGGTTCCCAAATTTGACTTGAACATAGTTATACGTTCAGGAGTTTCAGGAAGAGGAATATAGATACGTTTTTCAAAACGACGGCGTATGGCAGAATCTAAAGTCCAAGGAGTATTTGTAGCTGCCAATACAAGGACATTCTCGTTATTTGAGCTAACACCCTAAAAGACCAATAGGAAAGGAAAGTGGATATAGTGGAAACAGGCTTAAAACAAGCAAAAATAACTGGATTTGAAAACTCCTTAGAAGTAAACTAAGGGGAGTTGTACAAACGTTCCCTTATCGTAGATATACATGTTATTAATTTACCAGTCAGCTATTGACGACTAGTATTCATGAATGGCACTGTTAAGCGATATCACTCTTCGGGAAATAAATACATTGTCTGATATAAGGTATACTACCTCTGCTCACAAGCTACATCCCTTTCCATTTATGCATTAGTAAAGAAATAAGGGACATTATTACTAAGTGAAGATATAGTCAACAAATACCTAGACTCAGAGTGCATCAGACAATTGCCGTTTCCATCCTGAGTTACAAATCTGATAGTTATTAACTAATGCTACAAACATGCTATGACTAGCCATCTTAGAAGATGAGCACTTTCATGGAACTAAATCTGAGTGACAAGAATTATGTAAATAAGCGTAGATACACCTCTATTTAGAGCAAAATAAGCAGCATTGTAACTTGAGATAATAAGAATCTGACTAGATAAAGCCACACGAAGACATTACAGTCGTTTTTCCCGAAACGACATTACTTCTCACTGGCTATTTAAACAGTCCCTCAAAAATGCAAACCTAATACTTCCAAGATAAGCTACCAAAAGACTTTCTGATTGCACTAATACAATATTCCCGACGTTAAACAGGAATATATATATGTATATATAACCAATAGGGAAAGGTTGATCTAAATCTTTTTATTGATCTCCAACTGCGAATACTAATCACGTATATCTTAATAAACCGTTTTCAGTCTGATTAGCAAAATATAAATCATAGCATAAGACGACTGCCACAAAACCTACCTGCATCTGAATTAAAAACTCGGTTTTAATTCGTCGTGTAGACTCCGATTCATTATCATTTCGTGACCCACAAAGCGAGTCAACCTCATCGATGAATATAATGCTTGGTTTTTGCTCTCTGGCTATGGTAAATAGTGATTTCACCAATCTTTCAGATTCACCAAGCCACTTGCTAACCACGTCTGAACTCGAAACAGATAGGAAAGTTGAATTGTTTGCTTCTGTTGCGACAGCTTTGGCCAGAAATGATTTGCCAGTTCCAGGAGGCTTAATTTTCAAATGGGAAATACCATTATTTAGCAACTACGAACTTGGAAATCAAGAAAATGCTAACTATAGTATATTAAACAAACACTAAGATACGAAGAAACTAACCGTCAAAAAAACTTATCGATTAACGTCTTAAAAACATTAGGGACCACAACATGAAAAAATGACGATTCACCCTTGGCAGTTTATTTGAAATTTAAATAACCAAACCAACTATTTCGACGGTAAACGGTCGATAAGATTTTAACTAAATGTAAGTTCACTGAGCGAACAAGTGATAAAACACAATATTTTACAACCTATACATAAACCATAAAAGCTTGACGCAAGTGAATGCTTGCCAGGAAAACCAACTATGTGTGGTCCACGACGTCATCCGAATCTACACCAAAGTTAGTGATACACAATCAAAATAAATACAGTCACTTTTAAGTGCTAACACCAAGTCTTATGAATTAAGTTGAATGCACATGATAGTGAGGTAGTAAAATAGTGCTGAAATCATATGGTACCCTTAGACAAGGAAAGGTACGAGTTTCTCATTAGGACCTTAGAGATCATGAATACTGCTCAATAATAACTTCCATTTTCCACCAAGTGAAAACCCTTTATTATAGTTTTTTATTGATAAATACCTGAGTATTCTAAGTATGCCACCTACTCTACTCACTATCAATCAGGTACACTGAAGGGTGTTAGGAAGTTAGAAATTGTTCACGCAAACTGAAAGTAGCTTTACTAGCCATTTTAGAGTTTTTCAGTGCTTGCTAGTGTTTTTTTTAGATCCTCTGCTAGGCCAAAACTTCACTCTGCATGATAATCCTAAGTAACGCTAAATACATATGTACGATAGGACGGATTTACGACATACGCAACCGAGAACTTTTTAGTATATTTTATGAAGCATTCTGCAAAATTCCTGAATAGCGGGACGACAGATTAAGCTGCAAAGAGAAATGAATGATCCTTGTGGAACAATGCAGAAAGCAAGAAATGAAGACAAAGGAAGCAGGATATTAAGAACTTCTGAATTGAAATTTCAATGTGCGCTTCTTGTACTTTGCCATAACTACACATCATTCTGACATAAAGAATCTGCCACCAAATACTACTGCCTTCTACAGTTGCAGATTAATAGCTATGTTAAAAATTAGAATGTTCTAAGCTTTGGTGGAAATAACCGATTACAACTGAGGAAATAACCATAAATATAAGCACTTTGTTTATCTCAGTATTGTATATGACTAAAATACCCACCATGGATAAGTGAAATGGTATTATCAAGAGTTAAAAAGCTTGAAAACTAGTATGTACTACAACTTACGCCATACAAAAGAATGCCTCTCCAAGGAGTACGCTTTCCAGTGAATAAATGAGGAAATTTGGTGGGCAAAATTACTGCCTCTTTAAGAGCTTCCTTTGCTGACTGCAAGCCAATAACGTCATCCCAGCTGATATTGGGCTTCTCAGTCACTATCGCTCCTTGTAACTGAGTCTGGAGACGAGAACTTTCACCATCTTCTTTGTCGGAATCGTCACGCTTCTTTTCCTTCGTACCACCGGAATTAGCCTCCTATAAAAAATGAATCTCGAACAAATTTCATAGACTTACGGGAGTAAATCATACAGACGCTAAAACACAAACACTCAACTAAGTTATACTTTCCAAGAGCGAGGATATAAAAGCAACTGCAACTTATTTGTCATGAACTGAAAGCTTTTGGATAACTTTATGCAGATACAAACCTTTATGTTTGTCAGTTTGAAAAATATGCTACCGAGCAATGGCTTTTAGTCATAACCAACTAGTATTCGGAACCCACAAAGTAGTTTCCGGTTTTCGCGCTTAGCTAATTGTCACTTCATGGGCAGTTACTATGTTTAATAGAGAAAATACCATGCGAAGACATTCATAATACAATGGCCGAAATACTGAATATATCACCACAGATCTGCCTTATGTGAACACAACGCATTAGACAATGCTTATTAAAGATGCGTATATGTAGCCCACTAAGCAGTCATTCCGGATACACTGGTTAGGATAACTTGACGCAGGAAAAGTATAAGGTGACTGTACATAGCTTTTAAAGACCTATTCGAAGTAATAAGCAGTTATATAATATGATCTGAACAACTTACAGGGATAACTAGTACTTGAAAAAAGTACCTATGACCTAACAACATGCAAGCAATATACAATATTGATATATAAATTGCAGAAATTAACATGAGGCGGGAGTCCGCACCAGCTCACGTAACACTGCATTACCACCACCAGCACTGTTTCTTAAAAGTCTTTTATTCAAGGGATTTATTTGTTTCAAGCCTAAACGAGCGTGTGAATTTCAGTACACCACAGATTGAGGATTGTTATCCCGTTTAATCCTTATTATTCAGAAAGTTATTTTTACCCTCATTCGATTCTCGTTTACCGTAGTTTATTTTAACCTCTCTCTGTGCTTATATGGGATATAACAACTCGGACTGTCTCACTTCTGCACACAAAACTCTGTTCAGTTTAGAATGAAGGCTGACCGATCCTACCATGACTTAACGTACTATAGTTCTTATAACATAATTTTGACAATTTAAGAAATAAACGTACGGATTTTTCCCGAGCTTTCGAGGCCATATACTTTTTGATCTGTTCGGCCCTATCCAGATAACGAGAGCAGCTGGTCTGAATAGACTCTTTTGCTCTGTCACTTGGAGCCTCATCTGAAAAATGAATCCAACATATGAGAAAGACATACATTTTATTGCGTGTATGAAGTACTCGATTGCATGCTCATATAATCGTAATGCCTCTTCATAATTCTTCGCCTTATCCTCGGCTGTGGCACGAGTGACCAATTCTATGCCTTTCTAAAAAAGTACAGTGATATGAATAAGTGCTGTTATCCTCACATTGAGAGACATCCAAAATCCGAAGGTTAAGGGAAGAAGATTGAATCACCCACACTGGCGCTACTGCAACTGGTATTAAATTGACACTTTGTTCAATAAATGGTTGTGGTACTATTCAGTGTTTCAATTCACCGCAAAGAAAACTTTCAAACACTAAATATTTATCAGAACCTCAATTGAATTACATCGCAATGCGGTATATCTCAATCGAGATGCCCCTGCAAGGCAACTCAAGTGGAAACATTAAGTTATTTTTATTGTGTTTAAATTACTTGTCTTGTTTCATGTTCACAGCAAGACGTGGATGGATTCATGAGCCAACAAGAGACCATCGTTACTGAAAGAATCCTTGACACGTCATTCTATTGAGTAGCAGGTCGAAAATATAGCATTTCAACCTGTCTTAGTTTTTAATCCTAACACTGCATCTTTAATACAATAATTCTGGGTGTCTTTCAAAGTCAGGCAGTGATGATGACCCGATGACCAGTCAGATATTATTTAAATACTCTTTACAGTCGTGAAGATGCTTTTATTTCTTATAATAGGCTATGGATTGAGTTATCCTGTAGCATTCAGGTTCAGAGAGGTTAGGGCGAGTTAATGGCTTTTACTCGACTCGACTTCAAGCTTCTAAACTCCTTTGCGATTATTTACACACCACTTTGGTTACATTACCGGACTTTCGTATTTCTGAACAGGCCAATGCCTCGCCAACCATTCTCTAAATATAGCGCTCATATCGGCATAGAAAAGTCCGACTGGTATTCACCTGGTTGTTACTTTTACAAAGGGGCACGCGTGCACAGTCCCGCTGGAGTTCATGTGAGCTTTCTAGCGGGGAGGGTAATCTTTATCGGATGAAAAGATGTTCTACGTAACGAACCCTCAAATATTTTTCTACTGCGTGAGAAGTAATTGGTTTCCAGTATGTCGCACATTATTCTCCAGTACTTAAAAAAGTGGTGTCCAGGATCAACTCACTTTCATTTAAAAAGTGAACAACGTGTGTCCGTTGCTATTAAAAGTCAGCAAGTTTTTGCCCGTTTTGACCACATATACGGAGATTAAAGGTGAGTTTGTAAAACATAGGAAGCCTGAGAAGGAAAGCGACATCTGGATCAAATTTCTGCATAGTTATGAAATGGTCGCGAATCCATTTTCTGCGTCGTCTTTGGCCTGTATACATGTATTGATCAACCAAGGAGTTATATATCTTTTGCAGTGCCTCTGAATGTGCTTTTGAAGCAGTGGCTTACACTAGACATTCTGGAGGACATATAAACGCCTGCTGTCACTTTATTATGGTGGAAGCTAAGGTAGAACCTGAAGTTCATACAGTACCAAGGTTTGACATGACTGCAGCCGTCTTGGCAGCCATCTTGGGATTTTTGTTACGATCAGAAATGGAAGTTAGTTTTTTAGAGGTGACACATAGGAGTGATTAGAAAATTGTCCTGTACTACATTACTTAGGCAAACAGTCGGTTTAAGACATTCTTAGCTAACCTAGTCTAGACAGTTCACGAACGTACATAGTTTTCTCATAGGAGAGATGTGCCTCCGGAGGAGAGTGTTTACATTTTGTATCTGGCGGAGTGCTCTTATAGGATGAATATCTTAAGATATGGCCCGGTAGACCTTCATTCCGAAGATGTCCTAAGGCTGATAGCATGAGACATAACCGCGAAACCAGGTGACAGTCAAATAGTGAAAAATTCTGCAGGTGTAATCGATGTCAACTTTACCGACCCTAGATTAGGTCATGTTCTACGTTACTTCTCTGGCTGAAACAGGTTGTTGAAGACAATACCTTTGCCCGATTCACACGCTATATTCTGTTTAGTAATGTAATGTATTTCATACAAATTTAAAAATTTACATGAAAATGCGTTCTCAGAATTCATTTTAGCAGGATGGAAGCATCTGCTAATTAGGTCCACTGAAGTTAGACGAATCGCAGCGCTCCGGGTTGGACATTATAAAGATGGTTCGGGTGGTAGAATTTAAGAAAGAACTTCGGTTATTAATGAAATCTGGCAGTTTATTAGCGCGAACTTTCAACACAACCCTGTGCAGACTTCACCCAATCTTCACAAACGACTTGTTTTTGTGGGCAATCGATTACAAAATGCGTCTTGGCCCAATGAACAGAAACATCCCTTAATGCTGCCTCCGAAACATTGCGTGGCGCAGTTGATTCTAAGAAACTATCAAAACACAGAAGGGCGTGTAGATGCTACAGAGGTGCTGAAACCTCTAGAGAAAGGTTTTGGGTAAAAGGAGGAGGTGAAGCAAAGAAGGAGATTATCGAAAATTGCATGCGGTGTGGAAGGAGAAATGCTAGGGCCGAGCGTTGACTAATAGCACTGATGCCGACGGCTAGAGTAGAGATGGACAGCTATCTTGTTTTGTATATAGGCTGACATTACAACCCACCGGCTGCAAGTATTTGGGGTGGGGTTTTAAAACTCCTAATTAGCGCTGTAAGGAGGGTTCTAGGGGGTTGGTAGATGAACAACCGTAGGCTGGTGAAAGTCTTATAAATAAATAATAAATAAATTTATTCTCATGATACAGTACATGAGGTGTAACAACAGAAGACAAGGGCCAGGCAACAGATCGTTTTATTATGAAAATCAACACGTATTTATACATATTTCACATACATTATTACAGCTTATGCAAGTAGACAAACGCAGGCTTCGGATTGGTTGTTTAAGGATTCCTCGACAAATAGAGTTCTCTATCTGCGAATCATATTTTGCCACGTTAACTTTGCTGTGATTGGTTGTTAAATCAGCCTTGTACATATTTTCTCACGGCCTGCTCTCACCACAGAGGGACGCCAGTTTACAGGCATCATCAAATTGTTACAGAAATAGGATCATATTATTCAGTCACAATTTACAGTCGATAGCAAAATATGTTTAACATGTACACTGGAGATTATACATACACTTGATAAATGTTAATCCGAATAGTATAAAACATCCTTTTCACTTATGTACAATCATTTCTGTGCATAGTTGGAAAAATCCGCTAGATTGTCAGTGAGTGCAACACATCAGGAAATACAGAAGTATTGTCTTCGCATTAACAAAAAAACCAGGTCTTTGGTGGATGGGTTATAAGTGCCTGGGAAAAAAATAAAGCTTGAAGTCAGTTTTCGTACAATACTTTGTTGTGTGCAGAATCCTTGAATTATAGTTCATTGATGTGTTATTTTGAAATCAGTGATATGTTTATCTCATTTGATCTGCAATGTCATTGTTGGGAGTAAAATACATAAGCTTTAGACGCATTAATTAATGGATTTCTACTGCTTGTGGGTATTTACTTCTCGTGAGGAAGGTTTTTGAATTTTAGTTGTTCCGACAGGAGTTGTGGATATTGACTGCTCAGCAACATTACGGATATAAGTTCATCACATTATCTCAGGAATGTTGGGTTGTAGTTGGTGAGGCATATATGATGTCCGACGAGCGTACATCTGTCCATGTGATGTTGTGGTGAGTTCTATTTTTTTCATGTTGTCGGTTTATGTCCATTTTATTCCACTTATTGTGTTGGGTAGAAGTTTTACAAACGAAACTTCTTGTCTGTTTGAGGGTAAGTATCTTAATCGTTAATGTTTTATCTAAAATTATAAATATAGGCAAAAACAACAGGTGTAGTATTTGAGCTTATACATTAAATGGACCTATAATTTCGGAGGCTCTCAGATAGGAACTAGGACTACTGTCGTTTGCAAACTCGTGTAGTTTGTCGTTAAGCACTTTTTTGAATGAGGCCAATGTACCTGCTTGACGCATTTCCATTGGTAGTTTATTCCATATCTGTGCATACCTAATCAAATAAAACTTTTGCCTGGTAGCTGTTTTACATTGTTCGATAGCTACTGTACCCTTAGTGTGTCTTAGTTTGTAGCCACTGTCATCTGAAAGTCGAATGCCATTAGTAGAGGTAAAAACTAAGTGGTTTAGAAGCTTATAGTAAAGTGTTAAGTTTAGTCTCAGGCGTCTTAGCCATAGTGTTTCTAATCCTAGGGTGTCACATCTAGTGGAGTAGTTCGCACCATTTTCGGTTCCGAGTAATTTTGACGTGAAGTACCTCTGCACTCCCTCGACTTTCAATTTGTCCTCTATGCGTATACTACTATACATGAATGAACAGTAATCAAATAAAGGACGCACACAAACCTTGTACAACAGAATTCTGGACTCATTTCTGTAAAAGTTCCTGAGTAGAAAGCCGATAAGTCTGCGTGACTTTGACACTTGTTTGGAGATATGTTCAGAAAATGATAAGTCATGTGAGTATTTCAGTCCTAGGTCCAATACAGATTCCAGTCGTAAAAGTGCATGGCCTTGAATTGTCAGGTCAAGTTCTAAATTGTTGCAACCTATGCAGAGCCAGCCACATTTGTCGACATTAAACTGGAGTTGCCAGGTGTCACACCATCTGTCCATTTTTTCTAATTCTTGCTGTATGGCGTTTACTGTTATTCCGAGATCTGTGTTCTTGCATTTATAGGTCACTTTTAAGTCATCTGCATATAGTATTGGTTTACCAACACTAAAGCATTCACAGATACTGTTTATATATATTATGAATAGGAGTGGGCCTAATACACTTCCCTGGATTACACCACTACTTACAGGTTTAGGCCTTGAGATTATCGAGCCAACTTTTGTTATCTGATTTCTGTCACAGAGAAATGATTTTATCCAGCTCAGGAGAGGGTCACATATCCCTAGTGAGCATAACCTGCTGACTAGCAGATTATGGGGGACTCTATCGAAGGCTTTTGTTATATCGAAATATAGCACAATTACTAGTTCTCTGTTGTCCCTGCTTCGTGTAACTTCATTGAAAAAGTCTATGTGACAGGTCGCACATGATCTCTTTTTGAGGAATCCGTGTTGTGATGGGTTGATAAGTTCATGTTCTAGTAAGTTGTCTGACACTTGGTCTTTAACCACTTTCTCCATTATTCGTGATATTACCGGTGTTATATTAATAGGTCTATAGTTGCATGCACTGGTTTTGGCCCCTGCTTTGTGCTTAGGTTATATGTATGTGGTTTTCC